ATATATATTTAAAAGCATGTGACTCTCTTAGTATACCAATACTGTGTTAAAAATACACCCATAAAACTAATCAGGAGTGTGATCTAGATATAACAAGGGGCTGTTAAAATCAGAGGTCTGTGGCATATCTAGCACTTGCAGCTGTTTCAATAAGGTCTCCAGGTCTCCCTTGTAAATGAGGTTTGTAATCTCAATGGGACATCCTTGTTAAATAAACAATAAAGCAAAAACAAGAATGCCAATAGGAACCATATCAAACATCTGTCTTAAATTGCTATGGAAGATATGTGTATCTGACACCTTTGCTGTTGTTGCCTGAGAAACATAACCCTGGCCAGAGGAGATGTATCCCTTATGAGTAATTATACTGCAACCAGTCTACAAAGACATTTTAATTAACACAAGCGGTGCTAGATCATTGACTGGGAAATTCACTGTATTTATCTCTTGGCTATGTTTGATTACATGACAGCCAAGTGTTGCACAAGCATCAGATTTGCTCTGCACAGCAAAAAGCTGTCATAGTTTAAATGACAGGCCACTCCTTTAATAGCACTATAATCCAAAGGTGTATACAAAACAGAGAAAACCAGACTGTGGAGGAAAAAAAGACTCTGTGCACTATGTCAGTTTTCTTTGACTATAACATTATCTTGATTACCTTTGTCTTCCACAAATATTTAACTGTGCCAAGTCTTTCATGAAATGCAATTATGAATATAGATGTAAACACTTGAAATTGAATTAGATTGACCAGCCATAGCGAACCTGAGCGACAGGGCTTTACTGTGAGGAATGGGTGACGACAGCTCTCTTCTGTGACTGTATTGCCTCAAGAAGTGCATGTAATTGGGCTCTTGGGCCACCCCTTGAGCCTGTTTATATTGTGTTGCACATGATGTTACTACTCACCCTTTAAACTGCTTGCTAGTGTCTTATAGATATAAAATATAAAACATAAATAGATATAGTTAAGTTTAGCCAAGACATGTTAACTTATTTAACATGATATTACAGGAGTCAAAGTGTGTGATCTTTTGTTTTATGAATACAACCTTTGTTTTCCTCTATCTATCTGAAATAAATGTTAATCTTTTTAACTTTTTCTTTATCTGCACCTCCTCCCACCCATACCCACATACACACCCTTCCTTTCCTGCCTACCCCCCCCCCCCAAGGGCCACAGGGTTGGTGGGCGGCGTGAGCTGAAGTCGGTTCCTTTCATCAGCTACCTGTTGGCAATGCAGAAGAGCCAGCTATTGTCAGACGATATGGTGAGTGGTTTGGAGATCCGCTGCGAAGAGAAGGGCAACTGTCCGGCTGGCTGCCACCTGTGCCATCACCAGGCCATGATGGGAGGAATGTCAGGGAGAGGCCACAGTGGTAACAGCAGGAGCGGGGAGCAACCTTCCCCAATCCCTGTCCTTCTGGAAGTCAGCCGCGTGGTGCCCCTCTACAGTTTGGTACAAGACAACATCACCAAAGAGGTGAGAAAGCAATTTGGGGACAGGAAGTCTGTGTGCATGTGAGCTTGGTATTACTCCCAACTGTGGGGACTGAAACCTGTTTACAAACTCACATTGTGATGACTCATCTTACTTGTCTGGACAAATGCTGGTCCCCATAATGTGAATCATTGAATTTTAGGGTGACTACTTGCTTGAAGGTTAGATTAAGGTTACGTTTAGGTTAACATTACGGTAAGAGTTAGGATTAAGTAAGTAATAGTTATGGAGAAGGTTAGGGGAAGTCTCCAAGAAATGAATGTAAATAAATATAAAATCCCCACTAGCGATGAAAACAAATGTGAGAAAGCATACAAAAACTTATTGTGTGAAGCAAATCAAGACATATGTTGTGCTGACCTGTGACAAAAGGTGCAACTTTGAACCCTATTTCTGCAAGTGTAGGAGGCATATGCTGATTATTCTATATATTTTACTTATGTTTGATCTCAAGCCTTTGGTCGGCGGTGTAATTATTTCATATAGTATGTACACATCTTTGTTTAACTGATGCAGTTATAACATTTCACCTCTAGGTGGCATTAGTTGTTTAACTTTGACCACTGGAAATAAGCACTGTAATACAGAAGGCATAAAAAAGATGACATCATGGTTTTCTCCTCTTGTGGGGAAGTCTATGTGTATATGTTTGAGATAGAGATGTGTGTCTGTGTCTGAACAAGCATACATAGCTGAATGTAATATCAGCTTAATGGCCACACGTTGTGGTTATGATTCATCCTGTATGAGAAGTCGGGATCTTTGTGCAATGAAAGTTAATCATATCAAATTTCTTTTCCATAAGGTAATTTAGGAGGGGTCTCTGGTGTTACTTGACATTTAGTTTACCACATTTTGTGCTGTTTGGGCTTCATCATGACATTGTCTTGCTACCAAACATCCGGTGTATGTCTTCTCTGTGCGTCTTTAAGCTAATGCAGAGCTGTTTGCAGGTGACTCACACCCAACACACATGCGTACATGCACCACAGGGAGCAGACTGGTTCACTCTCCCCCCAATCAAGCATCTAATTACCTTTCCTTCTGAAAATTAGTGCAGGCAATAACAACACACACACATGCATGCATATACATATATATATA